GTTTCACTTTGGGAATCATGTTAGATTTTGCTTGGAGATAGACATCCAGTAACTCTTGACGCATTTGTTGAATCGCTACAAAAAGTCAAATGCTTGCAGATCGAAAATTTTAAAAGTAAGCAAATTATTGGATTGCAGGGAACTGGTGGACGTTTGTTTGAGACGAACGTCACTCACTTTAGCAGAAAGCTGAATTACTGTACCCGAACAAGCAGAGATTACTGAGTGATTTTGAGTGATTATTGATCGCTACTGATTATTGATTATTAGTGATCGCTGAGTGATTCGGTGGGAATTTGTTGATAAGGTTATCGTCCGTAGTTTTAATTTCCATCGCGTGGATTTCATTACAACAATTACATAGAATATTGAAACCGTAATTTAGACATTGAATTTAGGCAGTCTAAAAGTGCATTGTCTGTTGGTCTGGCTTGACGGATTAGTCCCAAATCGAGAGTCGCATTCGAGAAGACACGATCATCTTTACGTCTTCGTAGAATACAGGCAATCACAAAGAACTCTTAGTGGAACTGAATGAAATCTTCATTGCTGGCTCTAGTAACCACACTACTGAGAATCCAGTCATAAGCTAATTTGAAGAGCACAGGATGATCCATTCAAACAAGGTACCAACCTGACGGCAAGCACCGCTCCCACCGAAATGATACTACTTAAATAGACTAATTAAGTAGCTTAGAATCCTCTTCAACCCCAGGCCCTTTGTAACAAAGCCAAGCCTTCAATCATAAGTGAGTTGAAAGACTAGGGTCACCTTCTGGTGTCCGGCCTACTCACGGCACCCAAGTCACAATATCTAATGGATCACTGTGACGCAGTGCTCCACTCTTTATTCCCGACCAAGATTCCATCCTATAAGTGGCACCAATCTGTGACACATTTGTCTCACTCTTATTTAGTAGTGCGAAACTCAGAAATCTGCAAACGGATTCGAACCCGTGGTCTTACACACATGACCAATCAGGTGATCGGTTTTGTGAATAGGTTATATCTAGTTAGGATGTAGTGAGTATCCTGTTCTGGAAACCAGAAAGGGGACACAACTTTGCAGGCCAGGTAAACAGATCAACAATCAGCAAGTTTCTCGGAGCTATCATAATTTCAACGCTTCATTCCATCTCTGCTTCATTTTCCGTGGATGTGTGACTCTTCGTTAGACTGTCTGTACAGAAGCTATATCGGGCCGAAATATTTGACTCAAATCACTCCCGTTCCTCCGTAATTTATTACTCATAAGGTTGCTGAAAATCCATCGACATCCCACGATCGGTTTCGCCCTTCCGCTTCGGGCTCATCAGGTAGGCGCAATCCCCGAGTTTCCATCAACCTTATGGTCTACTCGAACCAGTACGTTGTTGAAGAGTGTAGTGATGGGTCGGTGTTTGTGCGTTGAGTAATCTGGCGTGCGGNCTCTCGCTTGTGAGGTCTTCAGGCATGAGGCGGCCTGGTGCAGCACATTCAGTTGCTTGAGAACATCACAACCGAGAGATCAGCTGGGTTCCAGGTGAGTCTCTCGAAAAACCAAATTAGTTTGCAAATGAGTGTATATTCGCGCTCCCGTTCCTGCTTTTGTAACTTGTGCGTCACCCAGTCGATCGCGATTGTCTGAAACTATTACCTTACAAAAAAACGCAATTTCATAATGTGTTAGTGATCACGCTTACATTGGAAATACGTCCTGCGCGATCACAGACAATGTATGTATCCAGCCCATGTCCCGACATCCGGATACATGTGGCTGACACCAAAACAACCGAATACAAACAGAAGATCGACGTTTCCTGTTCATATTTTTTTAGAATCTACCCTACAACCCTGATACTTCAATGAATATTTGTCACGTTGAACATTAATGGGAAGGGTTTTTACGGCAAATGCGCGTCCAAAAAATTGTCAGGCCGTGCCGAGACAGAAGAAAAAGTACATGTGCAGAGAGTGACGCATCCGCAAGGTCACCAGGGGTTCGACACGTCCGGAAAGTAGGTGATTTGGTGGCTCGCACCGAACACGGCTTAGCAACACACGACCAGCGTAGTGGGCCTGAGAATGTTCACGACCGGAACACCACCATTGGCTGTACGGAATGAACAAGTGAACGACCATATTTGGCCATTTAGTCATCCTATATATTTACGCAGACGCTCTGTATGTTTTGTCCTGGCAATACAGCNGTGCAGGCGTACCCATAGCTCGGCTACCGCAAGATACAACAAAAATTCGACGAGCTAAGGAACCGGTGAGCCCTACACTCTGGAAAATAACAGACAATGAACTGCGTTTCAGATTCCATCATGGTCTGTGGCTTCCATTTGGGTGGAATTATTGGTGATTGCGGGTATCGAAGTGCGCATTCACCGGATCGTAACTTGTACTTGAGATTTCACACAGTCAGTGATATGCTAAAACGTAAAGTGCAAGTATTCCATCCTTATTCGGATTTACAGCCTTGATTATCTTACGAAAATCAGGGCTTTTCAAACTCACGACCCTGCGGCCTTAACCGGCCATAAAGTAGCTGAAACGTCTGATCTTAACCGGTCTCACATGATCGTGAAAGTTTCTATGTCCGGTTTGATGAGGCTTCCTCTCGGCTGGATTCCTCTTGGACCAGTTTTGAGAATCCCTGATCAAGAGTGTGAAGTAGATGCGTGCGTGAGACAACACTCCAGTGTCTGTCTCCAGAAATCACCATACCTCTCTGTCTCGTCCATAAATTCTACTACCTCAGTTGTGAGAATGTCAGCTTCAGGAAATTGAGCATCGAACTGCGTGTATGAACTGCGTGGTTAACAAATCGTTATTGTTTATGAATGCGTCAGTCCAGGGGTACAAAGAGTTTCGGATATCAACTAGGATTGAGTTTCTCGGCGGTAATAGTCGATTGGGACAGTGTGCCAGGATCTGGGACAGTGCAACGGGTAACACTGGACGGATAAAATCTCGAAAACAGCGGCGGAGTCTGAAGTCGAAAGTGGGCCGTTCGTCTTGAAAGGGTGTTGAAAAAATGCTGGCTCAAGAACCGTTTTGGAGTCGTCAAGGGTCTCACGGTACTATTGCGTACTGCAGTTTGATTGCTGAGGAGCAGACAAACGAATGAGCACACACCTTAATCCTTGACCTACGTGATCCCGATACAGGCGTACTCGAACCACAAGACCTAACGAAGCACCGGTGTTCATTGCTGCCGTCCATAGGTAAACCGACTTGCCGTTTGATTAGCCTAGGCAAACAGCTGATTTAGCTATCAGTCCTCTCGTCCCAGATCCCTTGTCCTCACGGTTATGTTTCACTTGTGCTGACGAACTACTGAAATCACAACACTCTGGCTAGACAGTAGTATTATTCGAGGACACCAAGTGTCAGGTACAGCGAACTGGTGACCAGACAAAATGACCTTCAGCGAAGCAACCCCGTAAAAGACAGGACAAGATCACAGCTGAAATTACTACAGGAATGTTGCACCCATCGATTTATCCTCATTGTTACTTGACCAAAAGCACAGCTCGTTTGATTAGAGAACGCAAAGTAACAACTCACGAAAGTTGTTCATTGACTACTAAATTTCTGCACTCGTTTTGTCGGTCGAAACACATCGAAGATTTCAAGTCATCCGCTCTGTGTAATCATAAAATGAAACGACTGTCGGGTAGTTTTATTACCTATGTCGGTGTTTGTCACCTATCGCTGTGAAAAACAGCGTTTCTGGCAGAAAACCTGAGGAATGACCTATTGCTTCGTAACTGTGCGGTGTTTGGCTTTCGACGCAAGCCGCTAGTCAGGAAAAATGACGCGCGCTTTAAAGCAAACCAGCCACCAGAACGATTTATTGATCAGTATAGGCGACTATGTCTTACGACAGTCAGGATGAAAACAAATCGAAAAAAATTTGGGAAAAGTCGATAGATTTATTGCTGGGCAACATTTTTGTCTTTTATATTCAGGCCGGTCAGGTTATGCTTTTGCAACAATTCTTTTATCAGCTTTTGATGTACACGTCAACATCTCTAGTAATCATGAACCGTGTGTGGCTAGCCTTGCAGTCCCCTCATTTCCTGGAGTTGAAATCATAGCTACTTGTGAATGGGTTTAATGCCTACACGGCTTGTATGCAGCATATTCAGTTGTAGAATGCCATAAACGAGAGATTCAGTTGAGTCTCCGGTGAAAACCAAATTGATTCAGAAATGAGTGTATTACTCAAAAACAGTCGAATTTGGGTTCAATTAGAACATACGGTTGACGGAAACTCGGGGACTGCGCCTACCTGATGAGCCCGATGTGGAACGGCAAAACCGGTCGTGGACTGTCGAAGAGTTTTCAGCAACCTTGTAAGTAGTTTCCTTTATGAAGCACGATTCTGTTGGACAGGAAATTTGAGAAACTTTAGACAAACGTTGTTATTGTTAAAGAGGCAGTTCAGTTCCAGTAGCATCTAAACTTCCCAAAGCTCAAGTCACATTTGAGAGATTATCGTCACCTCGGTCATCGTTCTCTGAGACTTATTTCACACCGGAAATTCCAAATTTTTCCGAATTTATTTCTTTTTAGCCTCATAGGGTGACTAAAAGAACACCGACCATCATCGACATTTTACCTAGGCGGTAACTTATCAATCGGTCTCAAGCCATTCGCGAGTAATTGAAAGCATGATCTTGTTTTGTTGTCCTGATGCGCACAACGGTCAGTAGTTTGAGAAATTGCTTAACCATTAATTTAAGTCAGAAAAACACGTAAGTACGGACACGCGTGTATTGTGTACACGCGGCCAACTTGGTCCGCTTTCGTGGTGGGTCAACAAACGACTGAGTCACATATTCAACAACCCACAACCCAGTCACGTGAGCACCCAGTCAGCCACTCAAATCACATGCCAGATCGATAGTGGAACGATGAACGAACACGCACACGAGCAACCTCTGACACATCGAATCAGCTAGTACGACCATGGGAGCACCACCACAGTTGTACCAAAAACGCTTTCAAAAGGGTCGTTGATATTTACTGAGTTTGAAGTATATCTGTAATCTCTTGGTAACTGACATATCGGGGATAAAATGCCGGCGATCTAGTACCGTTTTGAGTACCTCATCAAGTTGGCTTATTCTGCCATTGATCAGGTGGCAGTTCATCTGTTCACCGGACATAATCAGAACAGATCAACTGCCCGCCACCTGATCAACAGCCACTTAGGGCAAATTAGCTACCGAATTCCAACACAGCGACCGTTAATTGGGTTGAGCTTGTGCGATGAGGATCGCATCCACGATGGAATTCAATACCAGTTATAACCGGTCAGCCAACCGTTTAGTGGCTAGTATGGGAGTACAAACCACCTCACTGCTAGACTACGATGCCCCGCTGACCCACCATGCATTGGTGATGTCATTGCCCTGCTAAGTGAACAGAACAGCATTCATTTATATAACCCGGGCTAATAAAGTTTTCCCGGATAGCAGGTACTCAGTGTGTTCGGCGAACAGTTTTGTCATCTTCGGAAAATTTATCATTGAGAAGGTAATTACGTGAGCTTCAGGGCCGTTTGTGCAGGGCCGTATTCACCCGGTATTCATCGCTGCTTCATCTTTCGACTGTAACACGTTCTTATTTTAACTGCGCGACTACTTATATTTTAGTAGTAGTGACAATAGGTGGGTATTACTAATGAAAGCATTACCAGTCTGTGGTACAAATAAACCATTTTTGCTTGTTCTGTGCAGCCTATAGGTATTGCAATTCGTATAGGGGGATCTCACCAGGGAAGATTGGACATTTCTTAGTCAATGGCAACTGGGCTTTGCCACCCGATGAACATGAGGGGTTTTATTGCTGGAGAGGCGTTCATCGAACCCTACCGTTTCGCAGAAGTGATTTTCTCTGAGAAGGAAAGAATCAGGGGTGCTTTTCCTCCACTCAATGCTTACTATATGTTTCGCCCGATTCAATTTTTACTCACGGTGTAATCCGCCAGGTTTAGGCAGCTGGCTGATTCTGGGTGATGAATATGCACCCAAGCGCATGGGATATTTGGTGCTATTTCTGGCAGATAATGACGGACACACATACTTGAACTGATGAAGTCAATAATTCAGGTAAGTCTAAAACAATTATGTCATCGCCTGGGATTTTTGTTTGTTTGTCATAAAGAAATTTGTACTTCTCCGAGGTTTGAGTATTTTTTGAGGCACTAAAACTGCTCCACAAAAAAGGATACTTGCCATAGAAGAGGTGTAGTTCTTCGAGAAATGCACTCATTTAGAAATCAATTCGACGGAAACTCGCGGACTGCGCTTACCTCATGAGCTTCAAGAAGGGCGAAACCGGTCGTGGGTTGTCGAGGAGTTTTTAGCAACCATGTGAGTGGTTTCCTTTACGAAAATATACTGTGATATCACGAATACCTTGCTAACTAAAGCATGGGGCGGCCTTTGTGCAGCACGTTCAGTTGTAGAACATCATAAACGAGAGGTTCAGTTGAGTCTCTGGTGAAAACCAAATCGATTCGAA